GCATTCACGCTATAATCTCAATATCCCAGAAACTTTACATTGTGGCGTCATCTATCGGCTGGAGTCATTATTTGAAGAATATTGAAATTATAGCGTCAATGTATTTTAGATCGAAAAATAAACGTCGCCACTCAACGCAGCGTACTGAATTAACCCTGCCTAGGTTGTTTTCCGAACGATTCTACTTGAATTGGCCGAAATCGGGGGTCTCAATAAAACCCGTATAACTCCTCAACTACATGAGATAGAAAGTTCGGATTTGTCTAGATCGAAAGAGAACATTATTTTCTACCGAATGGTCATGAGAGAATCCATAACAATATCAGAATTGCGTTCGAAATATTGTTTGCAAAATGTCCGTTGGAATTTCATCTGATTGGTCCATTATGAACCAATCAAATTTTTGCATTGAAATCTGCCCCCAACATTTCTCTGTCCAATGGTAAAAACCGCAGCTCTCTATCATGTTCCGTTCAAAAATTATTCGAAAAGCAATGGAGTCTCTTCTATTTTGAAAAAGATAATAGAATGCGATTTCAACATCAGGTTAAACTTATTCCTTTTTAGTCAGGGTGATGATTTGAATAAAAGAAGAAAAGAGCTAAGTCATAAATACTGATGTGACAATCGATCCTATTGTGCTTTGTAATATGATCTATCCTAAAAAAAGCTAGATAACCCTCTAAATAGTTATTTTCTCAAAAGAAATATTTCAGAATTGGTTTAGTGCATTCAGAGTTGGCCAATGAAAAGTTTGAACCATATAATAAGACTCATTGAAGATAAGGAGAGGGATGAACACGAAAAGTTCTGAAATACGGGAAAATAGTTGTAACTTACCCATTGCTTCAGCTTCTATTACAACTAAGGAATATGGTCGTTGATATAGCAAGATTCTTCAAAAAATACTTTTTATACTTTCTGTACTATTTTTACAAAAGAGCTCGGCTTTCATTTGAGAAAAAATACTAACACCATTGTATAAACTACAGATGTACTAAAGTTTGCCAAAAAGTAAAAATTTGCACGAAAACGTATCAAGAAATGCTGTACAGAGCTAAAAAACACAGATGTAGGACTACTCCCTATCGATACTGATGCTACCTTTTTACTAGACTGTTACGAAATAAATTCTACTTCTATTCAGGACAAAAATGTAAAGAAAAGTATTCTTTAATATTGAATATGTGGTAAGCATATTGTCTAGTTCTTTTGTTTGAACAATCCGACTGCCATTAAATTGAAACGATATTGAATTTTCAACCCTGGAAGGGGAAACGTTATAAATCTTGCATGTAGTAAAAATGCACTGTTCTTTTGAATTATTAGCAACTTGTCTTGTCCTTTAGTTTTCTGGGCTTTATTTATATATTTATACACAGCATAAACATGATCTGATATCGTTTAAAAAGTTTAAATCCGATACATAGGAAAATTATAATCAAAAGCCGGCAACTAAGAAATGAGTACTATACTGAAGACGTAAATTTGGACTAGAATAAAACAGATCAGGATATGATTGTAAATTGTCTAGCGTCACACTGCCTACTAATAGTAATCAAAAGACAATAGAACAGTGTAAGAAATAACAGCAAAGATCCTATGTGAAAATATATTTTCTGACTGATTCTATTAAGTTAATTAGCAGAATGAAAAAGCTAAATGATATTTGCTTTTCGAATGATTCCTTTTTCTATCACCAGAATCTATGCAGAAACTATAACGGAGAAAAGAGTGTAGCCAAAATAACAAAACAATAAAGCAACAACGAAAATAATTTCGCACGCTCATCTGTATAGCACAAATATTTCAGAATACATAGGCTATTTTGATCTCCTAGTTTTTACAAAAATTTACTGATATTTACGACACATTAATTTTATTTTGAAAAAGAGTCGCACAAATTCTTTAATAGCTTTTCGAACAAAGTACATACTAGATAATCATTATTGGCATGGCGCATTCCACAATGAAATTTTTTCATCTACCGAAATGTAAATCGTTGGATAATCGCATATAAACTCACTATTATCATTTTTACTTTTTCCACTTATCTAACATATACGTCCTCTCAGTAACTTATATATGGCTTTCTTTTTCATATCACAGGGGCGAACCTCGCCCATCACAACAATGATCTGAACAAGTCGCACACTTCACTGTTTAAATAAAGGTAATATTATATATATATATATATAAACTATCTCACTCAGTTCATTTTTGATTTTTTTCTACAGTTCTTTCGTTCTTTCTAGAATAAATGGCGCAAAAATAAATTTGAAATACCTTCTCAAAAATCATTCTGATGACGATTTGTATGAATCCAAAAACAGATGGTATGCTGTTCCGCACTCTAGTTGTTTGTAGATCAGATGGTTGACCGGGTCCGTATTGATAGCGCGAAACAAGATAGCCATGATCACGGCGGATAGAAATGAAGGCACGTTTGCCATGCTTGCTTGCTGCCAGTGCCATGTCGGATGCAGCTTCACCACCCCCGACAACGCATACTCTTTTGTCCTTGAATTCATCAAATCTCTTGACATCTTGCATGTGCTTAATTTGACCTTTAAAACTTTTCACACCAGCGAAATTTGGCATACTACGCACTTGATGTGTGCCAGAGCAAATAGCTATTCTATCGAATACTTCCTCGTGCCAGTCAGCATCACCGTTTACCCTTTTCACTTTTAATCGCCATTGTTGCCTTTGTCCTGGGATACGTTCAATTCTGTCGACTTCGTGTTCAAATCGAATGAAGGAATAGAGGCCAAAGTTATCTGCATATTCGTGAAGATATTTCGAATACTCCACTAAAAAAGAAAAATGTAACTTTATTTACTAGCAATGAGATTCTCCTTTATTTGAATTGCACATGGAAACGTCTTGTCATGAGGAGAAAAACACTTTTGGATTTCAAGATACTTTACGTTACTTCAAAGATACTTTGAGCTACTTGTAGTAACTTGAAGTATAATTTAAGCTATTTGGAGTTACTTTTATCTGCTTTGATGGTAATTTTAATCATTTCATTCTACTTTGAGCTACTGCGCCCCACGCTGAGTAACTTCTGGTACTTTGACATACTACTTAAGACTTCGAAGAGCATCAAGTTTTCGTGATGCATATTCAAAGATCGCATTGAATATGGCTACATCATCCTTTCTGATTTTATGTCAACTATCAACCCAAGTTTGTGAATCTTAAGGACATAAAGCTAAAAATATCGACTTCAGCAGTACGACATGCCGTTAAATCCTTTAGTCATCAGTAATTATATAAAAAACTAAGAAACAACAATAAAATTCACATCTGTGGATATTTCATGTGAGGAACATGAATGCCAGCTAAGGCCGACCATGATGATCGCTGAATACTGCCCCTATGAAAATTTTTGTGTCTAAACGTGCCTTTAAACACGTTTTAGTTGTGTTTGAAATGCGATTGTTGGGAGCGTTTGAATGCGTCCAAAATTATACATTTCTTGTGTCGGAACACACCTAATCACTTCCGGAATCACTTTTGGGAAAAAATTATCTTGTTCCCATAGATTCGAACTACCTCAAATTCACATACGACTGAGTTGGCTTAACAAAACTATATTGCGAACTCCATTTTGATTATCATGAGGGGCTACCGGGACTTATTTGTTTGGAATTTATTTTCTCAGGGACTTTTTTTTAAATATTGGGATTTATTAAATCGCAAGGTGGTCCTACCTGCGCACATCTTCAACAATACACTCGCCATCAATTTTACACTCTCATGTACGCCCTAACACTCGGTTTATACCCTCAGCCTCATCTAGAATTTATCCCAAATTGCTTCAGGACTTATTAATAAATCCCTAATAAATAAGTCCTGGTAGCTGCTGGTATGAACAACTTCTTTTTTCTACGAATTTCGGGAAATTCTTTCTTTTATAATCAATATATACCGAGGGTGGTGCAAAGTTGCTGATAGTTAACCAGGACAGATTTTAGAACGCCTTTTCCAATAGATTCTGAACAAATAGATTTCGTTGTGTTGAAAGCAAGATCATTAAGATCAACTGACGTAGTATTTGTAGTTTTAATTAAACACTACTGCAACTTGAAAATTATATATGAAATATTTAAACTAGATTTTCTTAGAAATAAGGTTACAGAAAATCAGCTCTAACCCATTTATAAACGCGTTCAGACGCGTTCTATTTTGAACTTCAAAGAAACACATTGTATGCTGAGACACATTTTTATCCATCCGTCGGTCGAAACAAAAATAGACGCCTTCGAAATCATTTCAAATGAAAATGCGTGCAAAATTGAAAAGCTTCTGAGTACTTTTAAACAAACGCGTTCGAACGCATGGAAACATGTGTTTTACGTTTTAACGCATATAGGCGCGCCAAAAAACACGTTTAACCGAATCTACAATGCATCTGAGTTTCAGATGGTTGTTAGGAACATTGATGCACTGATATCATCAGTACCACGCATGATCGATTTTTAGTGACTCCAGTGGGATCTTGCCATTATTGTATAAAGGAGTTACATATGAGCCATTCCACATAAGACACGATCAAAAGTACTCAATCAATATTATGGATCGGAGAGTATCAATTGGGCACCTATGATCTTATCTTACGTGGAACGGTTTATATATGATTTGAATGAATGAAGAATGATGATAAAGTAAAAGCCTATCCGCTTCACGCTCAAACGCCGTCCATTTTAAATGCATGTTGCATTATCATTTAATAGCTGCGGGATCTCACTTAAGTCAGTGACATTGGTCACATCAGCGCGTCAGTGTTCCAGTAGCATTCGGACCAGCACTTTCACTCGTTCAATAGCCAACGACAGTATCCCATCAATGTGCTCTGAGCATCACTCTTGGTGATAACAGTGTCAATTTTTTCTGTTATCCCACTGACATCGCACATACCTAGTTTAATGCCATTTATTGAACTTTCCACTTTCATAGGATATTTTTATGGTACTGTAGATACTTTTTGGTAATTCTATCTACTTTAACTTAATTCTCAATACTTTAAAAGAAATTTGAAGTATTGAGTGATATTTTACTAGCAATTCGAATTACTTCATTATATTTTAGCCATATATAAAAGTACTTCGTGATACTTTGAATACATTTGAATCTATTTCTCAATTCTTCTCTCAAATTTAAGCTACTTCAAGCTACTTGAAGTCACTTATCCAATTTGATCTGCTTCTTTGATTCAACTTTGATGTCCTACTTTTGGTCTACAAACAATCCATATAACGAACAGGTAGTTTTTGTTCATCAATATCTCATGAACGGGTGTTTTGCTTAAGCTGACACTTTATATATGGATAGATCATCTCATATAGCTCTCTTATGGAAAAAACTATCATCGCAAAATGATGAGCCGTTCAGACTTTGTGAAATACTGCAAAGTTTTGAAATATCTGCATTTTTGTAGACTTTTGACCCTCATAATTTCTCCTTGGCACTGTAAAAAGCTATCAGATTTTGACAATAGATGGACTCGTCAAAATTATACCATCCATAAGAATTTCAGTTATCTATGGATTTGAGATAGTCTGCAATAGTTCTCTGAAAACGGTGCTTTCGATGAAAATAAGAAGGAGCTGGGTTTTAGACATTTTTTAAGGAAAACATTATATATGAATTTGGTTTCTTCAGCAAGTCGATTACATTTTTTGCATCCTGATCTCATATGAAAGTGTCGAGGTAACTTAAGGCATGTGCCAACGCAGTATGATTTGTGAAAGATACATATATACGATAGTCATGGATTTCACCATACTAGTTTGGGCTGTGAATTATAGTTAGGTACTATTTTTGTGAAACACGATCTGAAAGGAGTGTTGAAGTATATAGGGTAGAAATTTGGGGGGGGGGGGGGGGGGGGGGGGGGGGGGGGGGGGGGGGGGGGGGGGGGGGGGGGGGGGGGGGGGGGGGGGGGNTACAGACTGTAATAGAGAAGCTCCACAGACCACCAGTGGCAGTAATAGACGAATTCCAGAAAAGAAGTTTCATCGTGTTTCACACTTTTAATCCCAAAGGGATTGCGCTAACAGCTTTTACTGCTGAAACAACTTTTGATGGAGAATACTCGAACAAACAAGAATTTAGAGCTATTTATACAGTACAATCGGAAGCCAAGAAATTATTGATTGAAGTTGATTAAAAATATCCTTCCTCGCAGTTTCACTCCTTTTTTTGGCAGCGTTTTGTATTTATTTCTTAATTTCAACAGATGACAATAACGAAAGCTCAAGTTTTGAAGCGCTTCATATAAATATTGTCTGTGATGCTTTTAAGACATCTGTGAAGGTGTGTTTTAATCCATAGGCACTAGAAGTTTCATCGCTTCAACGTTCTGAAAGTAAAACATATAGAAAAATCAAAGGGCAAAACGCATGAAATAATGCCTTTTGAACAAGATGAAGGGATCAAAATCATGTTTTTCGAGTGCAGAGCGCATATGTATCATTCACAGTTCGTGTTTACTCTGTATTCCTTATCGAAAATCGTCCGCACCGTGCACATAGTACACGCCTAGAAATCTGAGACCGAGCCAGTATGGCAAAGACAACACCTATCTCATATATGTAACGTTTGCGGAGATTATATGGTAGTAGCCCAACCCTATAGTCATAGTTGCATTAGGATTTGAGACAGCGACTCGGGAAATATCACAGACTTACTCGAGAAACCAAACGGAGATATAATGCTTTCCTCTAAATAAGCGAAAAATCCAGAAACTCCCAATTTTCATAAAAAAAAGTAGTGTTCCGAGAACCACGTCACCGTAAAAAAATGTCAGGCGGCCGAAATTTTGGAAGGAATAGACCTATGGCAGGCCTTCCTTTTCTAAAAGTTCCAGATGCGTACATGATACCAATCAAAAGGGATTAAAGACGCACGTCAGCAAGAATGGAAATTTCTCGTTGATTGCGCCCCTCGTGAAATGTGACCAGCCAAACAGTTTTCACTGGAAATTTTATTGGTAAAAGAAGTATATACTTTCTATGCCTATAAGATATTTTAGTTCAATCGACTTATCTATCCGGCAGATATTACAGGACTAAGATTCCCATCTTTGAAAATCGCTGCTGCAGGCATCCGACAAGGCTTCTAGTAAAATTCTGATAAAAATTGAACAGATGCATATTTTTTCGAACGGCTTTCCTCTATATTCTTCAGGCATATTTTCCCTATAAAAATGTCTTAAAATACAGCAAAATCTGGCAGCATCAAAGGAGTAATTTATGCTAAATACGTGATAACTTACATGGAATGACTCTCAACTATTAACAACGGGAAAAGGGGACTTTGGATTTGAAGTAACTTTATATACTCGATAGTACTTTGTTCTACTTGTACTTAATTTAAGCTACTTCAAGTAATCGTTTTTGAGTTACTTTTGAACTTATAAAATGACCTCAAGTTATGTTTGTTGGTTGAAAGTACTTGTTCTTACTTTAGTCTACTTTTAGCTACTGAAGGTAACGGATGCGGCAGAATAAATGGCCCTGTCAGTATTTTGATGACATCTCTTTCAGCTTTCATTTGGTGATGCTAATTTTTTTTTCAAAAGGTTCGCGCTCTAAAGCTCTACAAAACTGTATTGTTTTTATTAGCGCAAATAGTTTTCATCGTTTTGACAAAGACGATACAATCGATTTGTAACGCTAGCACAACTTTCAGAAGCAACTGATTCACGAATGTTTTAAAATGATGATTTTATTTGTTGAATCAATGTTGTTTTTGACTGAACTTCGTTCCAATTGATAATATTGACAAGTTCACCCCAAATTGAGTAGCCCAAAGGATTCAAATCAGGGCCATTTGGATGCCAACGATCCTTGACAATAAATGATGGAAAGTTGTCTCGACACCATTGTTCTGTCAAATGATGCGCGTGAGGCTTGGCGCCATCCTGTTAAAAGACCCAGTCGCTACCGAAAACTTGATTTCCATATTTTAATGCAAAAGGAAGTATTTTTTCGATATAAACAGCATGATCGACTGTTCCTTCATCCAGGATCACCAAGGGGGTTATACCCTTGGAACAGGCACCCAACCAAACCATTACTTTCTGTGGGAACTTTCGTTTTTGCTTAATGTCACCATTTTTATCAGCATCAGCACGATCAATTGCCCACACTCGATCATTTTGAGAGCTATAGACACCATCACTGTCAAAAAAACTTCTCATCCGAAAAAAGAATCCTCATGGTTTCTTCTTTTCGAAAATTTGTTCGAATCCAGTTTGCAAACGTCTTCCGTTTGATCTTTTGATCATCAGAAAGTAATGGTTCGACAACTTTTTTTTATAGTGATGTAGCCCTAAATCGTTTTTCAATATTCCCCGAACACTTCTTTCGGAAATATCGAGCTCCATTGACAGTTTTCGAGCTGATACTCGTTTTCTCCGGCGTAAACGATTTTTTACCTTTCGAATATTTCCTTTCGTTCTGGCCAAACGTGGACAACCTGGTGGACTTGATAGTGTGATAGAGCCCGATTGAAGGATCATTTGGCACCATCGTTTGATGGTTCTTAAACCGATTCCACCATTTAAATCACGAAAATGTTTTGTTGGAGTATCACCATTCTGGTACTTTAAAAGTACAATATTTTGGAGATCTTTACTTTTCATTATATTAAAACGTAAATGTGTTATAAATTCACAGATGAAGTGACTAGTTTTGTAGAACCTGAGACCGGGTTTTAAAAATAAATTAGTCCAAACGGATAGAAATCCGAAGAGATGTCACCAAAATACTTAGAGGGCCATATATTCTGCCGCACCCGTTACTATACTTTGACTTACTTTGATATATTTCAAGCCCGCTTTTCTCCCTTCACTAATATCCATATTACATGCTTACATACGTCAGATTATTGAAAGTACTGGTAGTATTTCAAGGTAGTCCAAAGTACTTGGAGTTTCGTGTGAAGTAGCTCGAAATTTGCTTAAAGTACTTTAATTATTTCAGAGTACTTTAAAGTGCCTCAAACTATTTTAAGTAGACAAATCTGCCGTTTCTCTTCGCATTTTAAATGTTAACTATTAAATGAACTGAAGTAATCTTTATCAATGAGAAATGTATCGGCAGCTTCCTATACAAAAGTATGCACATATGTGTATAGATTCTCTTTCCTATCAGAACACTCTCTCTATATATTGGCGTATTACCATCGAACCTTAGCGCATGATTAAAGGACTAACATTTAAATCACATAGTTCCATTACATTGCTGCTACTGTTTGAAACTATTAATTTTCCTTCGGATACACTAATAGAAAAATAATAATTCTGCTGATATTTGCAAGAAAAATAATATTCTTCTCTTTATTGTAACGGTGAAATATATAAGATAGATGTACGAATCGTCTTTAGTTTCTTCACAGATTCAATATCTATCTACGTATATATTTAAGATATAGCGGTTCCAATGTATATCTTTAACTATCGTAGTAATTCAGTGGGTGTGAGCTCTTAATTTAGTTCCATTGGATTGAGTTGCAAATCCAATCAATACCCAACTTTCGTGTGCCCAAACATTTTATTTTGAATAGATTACATTGGATATTGTAAGGACTTTTTACTGAAAAAGTACAATAAAGCACAAGAAAATTTATTTAGTAATCATCTCTACACAAGAACAGTTATCTTATATTCACATTAGTCGCACACTACTTCGACATTTTTGCAAATACGCTAAATATGTGACGCCTCTTATTTTACCTGACACGCATTTGCTCGTAAAAGAGTTAGCCGTCTATGCAGCACACATCTAACTTGAAAACATTCCATTCTGGTAAATCATTCTAATTAGGAGATCATCGACAGTATGAAAGAAAATATTATGTAATGAGTTAGGGACAGGCTAGAACAAGATCGAGAGTGAAAAGTCAGGCGCATTATAGAAAGTAACAGATAAAATCATACATTCATAACGAGAGAGAAATAAAAAACTAAAAAAAGGTGTGGGGTGGGTGTGGGTGGTGGGTGTGGGTGTCAGTGAAGGATAATATTCACACCCACACCCACGCCCACACCTACACCCACGCCCACGCCCACGCCCACACCCACACCCACCCTCGACAATCTTAAACTAATCATGAGTAGTCATGAAACTGATCAACTACAGAAATATTTACATGAAATATCTAAGAAAATAAAAGAAAAAACAGTAACAACACATTACAAAAAACTACGAATACTTAACAAAGGACCAGTTGGTCAAGATTACCAATCGCTTAAAACAAAACTCGTACATAATATATCCTCTTACGTTCTCACACCAGCTGAAAAACGTATCTTATGTCGTGGTTGGGAATTCTGCATAGAGAATAAAGTTAATAATTTTATCGATTTCAAAACTGATATTGAAAAAAACATGAAGAAAATTGAACATTCATGTCATCATAACGCCTTTAGTATTATATGCCGTAAGATATCTAATGCTTCTGATACATTTATGAAATTAGCAAAGAAGAAAAATATTAGAAATATAAGCGATGAAGAGTTTAATGCTATAAAATCGTTAAAAGGCAATACTAATATCATAATATGTCGCGCAGACAAAGGAAATTGCATAGTCGTCCTTGATAAACAAGATTACATAAATAAAGCCGAAGAAATCTTAAAATTAAAACAATTCCGGCACACCGAAAAATCGTTACTGAACGAAAAAGAAAAATCAATGAATACCTATATGTCTAAATTAATGAAAGAAAAAGTAATTGATAAGCAACTATATTGGAGAATTCATTCTACATCTTCCTCACTTGCTACTATGTATGGCCAACCAAAGGTCCATAAACTTAACTACCCTCTTAGACCGATCATTTCATCAATTGGCTCATACAATCACGAATTATCTAAATACCTTGCTGAAATAATTAAATCTAATCGTACCTCTTCTCCTCCTTCATATATCCGTGATTCATTTGAATTTGTTAAGAAAATAATGAAAATTAATGATAGTAAAGATCAAGTAATGATAAGCTTCGACGTTGATAGTCTTTATACCAACGTCCCAGTAAATGAAGCGATTAATATAACACTTGATATGTTATATAAAAGATCATCTCCACCACCTATACCTTTTAACCGCTCTCAACTAAAACAATTGCTAGAACTAGCTGTATGTAACACTCATTTTCGTTTTTTACAAAAAACTTATATACAATGCGACGGTGTTACCATGGGTTCACCATTGGGACCCATACTAGCAGATATATTCATTACTAATTTAGAAACTAAATTAAACAAATTCTCAACTAATAAGCCCTCATTATGGATACGATACGCCGATGATATATTCTGCTTATTCACAAAAAAGCAAGACATAGATGATTTTCTAGAAAGAATCAACAAATGGCATAAAAACATCAGATTCACTAAAGAAGAAGAAATTGATGAAAAATTAGCCTTCTTAGATGTTCTCGTTATTCGTGATCATACTACCAATAAATATGTCACAACCGTTTATAGAAAACCAACTAATACTAACTTATATCTCTTATATGATAGTAATCAATGTCGGAAGTACAAACTAGGATTAATTCCCACTTTAGTAATTCGCATTTTACTCATATGTTCAACTACTACTCATAAAGATAATGAATTAACACTAATGAAACATACCTTAAAAACAAATGGTTACCCAGATCATTTAATAAAAAGAGGAATACGCGAAGGAGAAGTAATCGTTAATAAGATAAATAATAAGAACAACAATCAACAACAGAAACCCCAAACTAAACAAAATATTTACTTTACATTAACATATTACGGATCAGAATCAACGATTTTAGCCCGAAGAATGAAAGATATTATTCAAAAATTCATGCCACTTACTAATATTAATATCGCTTTTAAGAAAACCTTTACATTGAAAAACATATTCTTACCGATTCAAAAAGGCGAAGATAAAACTAAAAAAGATAAAAAGTTAGTCTACAAAATCCCATGCAATAACCGTAATAAATACTACATTGGTGAAACGAATCGTGATAAGTCGACAAGAATGAAAGAACATCAAAAAGATATTAAGAACTTATCTGACTCATCAAATGTAGTAAAACATGTTATAGAACAAAAACATACATTTAAATTTGATCAAGCGGAAACGTTAACCTTCGAAAGTAAATGGAATCGCAGAGTAATAAAAGAAAGCTTATACACGCACCAATCATTAGATCAATCACTGAATGATGTAAAATTCAAACTGAACGTATTCGGATGAACATAGACGCCGAAGGCGTAATTTTGTGGGCAATATAAGTTCTACGAACATAATAATTCGAATTATTATTAACAACCAATTAACTTTTCTTGATCTCTCATTTCATATCTAATATATAAACACAGTTTTCTTTTTTGTATTGTCATTCCTGATGATGATAGGAGATACCTATCGAAAGCTCGAATAAATAAATGTGTTTTTTGTTAAAAATCAAGTAATGTTCTTCGTAGCAGTCTTATACTCATTATTTTCTTAACTGTGCATTTGATGATGTACATGTTGATATTCTCTTTTTTTCTCTTTTATCAATGTCAATGATAATCGTTAAAAAATTTGCCGATTATACATAACTAAAATAAGAACTTATGACGTTGATCTTAAAAATGAAATAGTCAAAAACATAAATTGATGTCCTCAGAAAAAGATAAATCTCAATTCCTTGTTTTTGACACATGTTTCTCAGAACAGCTGATGTTCGATTCTAGTTCAAATGTATTTCTCATATCGAATTCCTCAAAATTTTTATTTCATACAAAAAAATAAAAATAAAAAATTCTTTAGATAAGGTGTAAGATGCTCAGCAAGGATCCATAATTATTTCGGAGAGATAATTCCAAACCTCCACTAAAAGCAGCTAACATTTATTGTATTCTTTAGCTCTCTCTGTAAAAGATGTTTTTCTTTTCATTCATTCCTCTTTTGCTTCTGCTTCATGTATCCATGTTCCAATAGACTTGTTCCTATATTATATGTATCGCTGACGAAAAACAAATTGCGATCTTGGCCAAGATATTGATGGTGATGATCAGAGATGGGCGAGTCCGAGTCATGACTCGGGCTCGAGTCGACTCGAGTCGCATTTTTTTAATGACTCGGACTTGACTTGACTCGAAAAAAAGCTGGACTTACCCATCTCTGCATTCCGGAGATGGGCGTGTTCGAGTCATGACTCGGACTCGTGTCGACTCGAGTCACATTTTTTTAATGACTCGGACTTGACTTGACTCGAAAAAAGGCTGGACTCGCCCATCTCTGGTGATGATAAAGATCTAATTGAAAAAATCGAAAAGAAGTTCAAATAAGAAAAATGTTTTGAAGACGAAGAATAGGATCGTGCTAATTACATCTAATTGTCATAATCCAGGGAATATTTATTTTAAACGAATATCTGGAATAGATTCTAGTTTTTAAAAAGAACTATACTTTTAAAGTCTGTTGTCAAGTGAACAATTTTATGAAATAGAGAAAGTCGACTTCTGTTTCTTTTGATTTTTATTTGAATGTAATATTGATAAAATTTATTTTCAAAATAAATAGCATTCATTATTGTCTTCTCTTCTCTTGTTGCTCTTCGCTAATCCTGTTAATTAACGTATCACATCCATGTTGGATCATTATTGACTCATGCATAGAGACCCTATTCCGATTATAATGTGTTATTCAAGGAGTAGAAACAATGAATTAATTTTTTTCGAATTTATAACATAATGTTTCCTCTACACAATAGTCTATAAGCTTTTTGAATCCTTATTGATTAAATGCTTTCCAACTCACGGTATAGAGTTTCTAGGAAGGAATGAAAAAAATTTTTTTCAAATGTTTAAGAGTTAAGCGATCATATAGAGAGAAAAGTGTCACCATATTTTTCCTGAACTCTGATGCGCTTGAATGAAATGGTGAACTTGTTGAAAAAAACGTCAAAGTCAAAATCATGTTGAATGATTATAGTGTTTTAAATCATTAATTCTTACGTCAACGATCATCTTCATTCCCTAAAACATCTTGTCGATATTAACTTAATCCAAACAAATATAAACTGATCAATAGATATTGCTTTTAAAATTAGGATAAGAATTACTTTTTAGTTCTAACAATAATTGATTTTAAATTATTATCGAAAATTTTTCTGATGTCATCGATATGCTTTTTTCAATTGTCTCAAGTGTTATTGCATGTCTCGTTTAAAATGTTTTGATAACCCTATTATTTACTGCTGCATTTTTAGTCGATCATTGTTGATTTAATCATCATTACAGAGACAAATTCATAGAATCTTCTTATCTTTTTCTTGTGCTGGAGAAACATAAGATTTGGGATAGGAAAGAATACGAACTATTGGCAATTCATTAATTGCACGAGAATCTTTTCAAATTCTTTCTATTCTAGCGAAATGTGGACTGAATTCTTTCTCGCAATGTTGGAACTATTGTTGTTTCTCTTTTTTCATCTTTGAATGATGATTTACACACACCATCACATAGAAGAGAAAGGTGAAACAAAAATATCACTTTTCGTTGCTGTTATCTAAGCGATCTTGAACCGAAATCATACAAAAATTGAAGTATTAAAAACATCTAAATAATCACTTAAAATCATTAGAAAATCACTCATATTGTCCAAATCATCTCTAAAAACATAGATAAGCTTTTGAAGTTTTTCGGAAAAAAATGCATCACTTTATTTTTTCAACGAGCCATTATAAATTTAAAAGAAAACGCTGGATCAGCAAAAAAAGATAGCATATTCAGCTAATATTTGTTGGTTATTGTTTCAATAAAAATAATATTTTGTCTTCGATAGTTACTGTCGTACATGATTAAAATATAAAAAGAATGAAATAAAAATACTGTTGCGGAAAAAATAGAATTAACTTCTGCTTTAATGAGAAAAAAATTTTCCACTTTACTTCTGTATAAGTAATCATTTCGATTATCATCATATATGTTACAGTATGAGTTGAATTAATCTCATGAAAGTCTTTTTTTTATTACGTTTTAATATTATACAATCATATAGAGAATTGACGAAGAAAAACTTTTATTATATCGTGCCTATCAATTATAATTTAAACAAGAAACAACGGTGCTTTTCAAATCATCAAACAATTGAGACTATGATTTGTTAAGACTAGAATCTATTTCAGATAGTCGTTTTAAATAAATATTTCCTGTATTATGATCCTATTCTTCTTCTTCAAAATAAAAATTTGAATTTGAATTTCTTTTCGATGTTTTTTTTTATCATAACTTCATCATCACCATCAATATCTTCAACAATATTGACTTATTTTATCAACTATACATATAATATATGAGTAAGCCTATTAGAACATATAAACGTAAAGCGGAACGAAAAGACGAATGAACGAGAAGAAAAACATCATTTAGAGAGAGTTAGAGAGTATAATGTATATTAGCTGCTTTTACTGAAGATTTGGAAATATCCGTCCGAGATAATTGTAGATCCTTGCTTGCATTTTTACGCTCTTTCCAATGATTTAACTTTTTTTTTATTATGACTACATAAAATAAAATATTCGAGAGAGTTGTTATATGTCAAATAATATTCAGATGATTTGTGCAATATATGGCAGTATCATTGTAGAGAAGAAATACACCATTTATAATTATGTTTGTAGTTTTGAGTTTTATAATTAATCAATAAGCGAAAGAGCAATGAGACAAATTTTATATGAATTATATAGCTGTTATAGTATCAAGCAGAGCTGCGCGGGACACGGGACGGGACGATAAAACTGAAAATTGAACAGGACGGGACGGGACATATTTTTGGTCGTCTCGCGGAGCTCTGGTATCAAGTGCTTAATAAAATAAAACAGAACAAATAAAATAAAAAGTGAAAATTTTTCATAAACACTTCTGTTTCAGTTGAAATCTCAAGAAAACCGTTTCGGTCATTTACGAAATTTTGTTTTATTCTTTTTTCCTTCTCTTATCTACAGCTTATTCCTGTGAGTGCCAATAAGACATAATATCATTCATATACGATAAAGAAAGATTTTACGAACAAGAAATGAGCAATTCTGCACGTAGATCATGTTGTGACGTCGTTCAATTAGAAAATGTGAAATAAAATGAAGCTTAAACAAATTAAACCTATTATTTCTAGAAGAGCATATTAACATATTTAGCTGTAGATTGTTGAAAATCAATCAATGGGAGAAAACAGTATATCTAAAGTCATACGACATTAAATAATATTTTGATCTAGTATTAATTTTAAATTTTACTGGCAATCAAATTTTACTCTTATCTTCAACATTATCGTTCAAACTCAAATTGAAGAGAATCTCGGCTTGAACCAGCTCTGTCTAATAATTTATATCTTTTTTTAAATTTCAATGGCAATTTTCCCCAGGAAAAAACAGCAGCAAATGATTCAACCACGTGTGTTAACTGATAACACACATTCATAGGGAGAACGATTGTAAAAGTATTTTCTTGTTCAAGTAATTGTTATCGACTGGCAATTTTCCTTATTAAATAAAAAATAAATGCGAAAACCTCGGATTTAAATCCGAGTGTTATGTGTACTTCAAAAAGTGATAAATGCAATTAAATAAACAATTTCATCTTTCGAGAAACGAAGTGTATATAGAAATATGCATAAATAAATCAAATTATTCATATATAAATACTTACTAATCGGAGAGAAACAAAAAAAACATGAATACTGCCCAGCTTCTAGAAAATAAGAAAAAATAAAATACTTGCGCTCGTGCTTACTTCGATTTATTGTTTTTCCTTATTAATCAATGGCAACCAATAGTGAAAATTTACCTGGTCATGAATCAGTTATTATCGAAAACGATGAAGGAATAAATGCTGAGAGTAATCGAACAATTACTCATATCAAAAGTAAATTTGTTATTCCGAAGAATAATGAATGTGTTCTTATTGGTAATAAATTTTTAATTTAGAAAAACTATAAAACGAATATTTTATTATTAGAAAAAGGTGTTAAAGGTAGTTTTGTTACCATCAATCAATTTAAACACTTTGGTTTTATCAAGCGGTAATTATCATCCTTTTGTTTTGGGATTTAATTTCATTTGTTTTTCAGTAAAGATAAAACTAAATGGCCTGATATTTTCGCACGACAAGCTTCAATAATTGATCAGGTTCATCCAAAGAAATGTTTCGTGGCTGATATCTGCAGATTTGACATTATGAAAAGAGAGTTATTTAACTCTAGTCACATTATAATTATATTTTCTTTTTCCTACAGCTCCTCGTGGTTATGAAGCTATGAATATTGATATTGTCGAGAGAAATATCAATTCCATTCGTAAAATACCTAAAATTCAGAAGCAAAAAGAGACCGATTCAAAACAAACAGAAATATCTGGTGACCTATTCCAGTCGACATTGTAAGTACGACTCAATTTATTCTTGACTTGATGTAAATTAAATTATATTTTATTGTAGGGTTATGCTTTTTCGTGAAGCTTTGAAGAAAAAGTAAATCCAATTGATCTCGTCGATTGATTTATAACAACAACATAATCAATAAGACATTTGCTAAGATTTTTAACAGCTAAACGAAAGATTTTTTTAAAAAAAGATCTCGTATTGAAGAAAGTTGTACAAAAAAAATTATCTTTTACTTAATAAAATACTTACTAAAAGAAAAGAAGTTTTTCTCATGACCTACTTATTTGTTTATTCATACATTGTGCTAAATAAAAGAAAATCTATACAAAACAAATGAGAGTATAGTCGAGCAATTATTTCCATTTCTAAATAAAATTGTTTGTGTTTAAAAGTTTCAATGATTAGTTTGTTTCAGTTTTTTCAGATTTTCATTATTTTTAAATAAATAATAAAAAAATATTAATTAAATTTTTTTCAAAAAAGATTACTAATACTTCGATTTTCTAAAGTTTCTTACTTAGTATCGAGTATATCTTCACTAGTTTTAATGGAGATTTGACTCGAAAGAAACTTTTGCATTGTTTATCTCACTAAGTTTAGAGATATACACGTGTCTCGCTAAGTAGAAGCTGTACTTGGTGTATACACACCCCTAATATACGTGAGAAGTTTGTTTCACGAAAAAATGCCGAAGCTAAAAAGAAGATCTATATCTCAAAGAAATGTCGATAAAGCAAAGATAATTAGAGAAAAAAGAGGTAACGATGAATTTCGTTTGATAGACAATAGAAGACGAGCAAAATCTCATAAAATTGAACGACAAATTGATGAATTTAAAATTGAAGATAATAAAAGAAGAGCAGAAGCTCTTCAAATTAAACGTGAAGAGGAAGAATACAAAGAGGAAGAAAGAAGAAGAAATGCATTGAGAATGCAGAATAGTAGAGATATATACAAAAATAATTTTGATGTCATGAAGTCAAATTATGAGTTAAAAATAAAAGAAGGACCGACTCATATTTGTAGCTGTTGTGGTGGTTTATGGTTTGAGTATTCAATCAGAGAATATACAGTTGAGATGTTAACAAACAAAGGATTAAAAACAGAATTTATCAATGCAGTTTGTTACCTAAAAAATGCGACCATCAAATTATGTGTCACATGCAGAAAGGACATCATGTTGAATAAAGTACCTAATCTCTGTCTATCATATGGTTTAGCATTTTATGAAATACCAGATTGTTTAAAAATCTTAACTGAATCAGAAGAAAGATTAATATCACCGAGAATTCCTTTTATGGTAATCCGAAGTTTAGGTTATTCTAAACAATTTGGTCTCAAAGGTAACCTTGTAAATGTTCCGATGAATGTTGACACAAACGTTTCAATCTTACCCAGAACTTTTAGTGATACTCAAACAATTCAGTTAAAACTCATGAGACAAATGAAAAATAAAAATGCTTTTATGTACGAAACAATTCGACCAAAAATCGTACATACAGCTGTTAAATATCTTGTTGAACAAGAACTTTATAAAGATGAAGGGATTGTTATATCTAGTGATTGGCTAAATCAGCACTTCAGCGAAAGAGAAAATTTTATCATTAATGATGAAGATAAAAAAATTAATGAGAATGAAAACACAAAAGGTTCTGACGATGATGATAACTGGAATGAGTGTGACGACGAGCCAATCAATCCAGGAGCTACTGAAACATTATTAAATGATGAGATTGCCGATCAAAATGATGTCGGTATTAAATTTGCTCCAGTCGAGAATAACAGACCAATATCTATTTTGATGGACTTGAAAGTTGACGAGTTGACACTTCCGAAAATTTATTGTGGAAAACAACGAAAAATCAAAGAAAAGACTAAATTAACCTATGCTAAGATTGCTAAGTCAGAGCTACGAATGTTTGATAGAAGATGTGGTAGAGTATCGAAACTATTTTTTACATATAAGAAACTCCAAACAAGAAAGTTTCGTGACGCTATTTCAATAAATTTAAGAAAAACAAAAAATACGAGCAATGTAACACTTGTGCAAATGCTCAATCGAGATTATGTGAATGGTCTAATACACAATAATAATGCTTTTGCATTCTTGAGATGTGACCGATCTTCACCAGTATTCTGGGAACTAAAAAAAAGAAGTTATGGCAATGATTAGGCAGTTAGGATGTGCAACCATTTTTCTAACATTATCGGCAGCAGAGACAAAATGGTCAGAACTAATTGTAATATTGACTCAAGTGCTGGAAATTAAAGTAATAACATTGGAAGAAGCAGTAAACATGAACTATGAAAAGAAATGTGATTTGATACGAAATGATCCTGTAACATGCGTTCGTTATTTTGAACATAGATTAAAATGTTTATGGGAAATATTATCAGCACCTTGTGGTCCATTTCATGGTTACGAATTAGAAGATAAATACGTCAGAGTTGAATTCCAAGTTCGTGGTTCACCACATATTTATGCTTTACTTTGGTTAAAAAATGCACCAAAATACGACAAAAATAATCCCGAATCAATTGAAAAATGTATAGAGTTTATTGATAAATTGATTTCGGTTAATTCTAAACCAACAGAATTTTCAGAAGAACTTATAAATTTGCAGCGCCATAAGCATTCACATACTTGTAAAAAACATGTAAACGGTTGTATAATATGTCGTTTTGGTATTCCATATTTCCCAATGAAAAAAACCATGATTTTAGAACCATTTGGCGATGATAAAAAATTCACCAAAAAAGAACGTGAAGAGATTTGTAAAAATAAACAGATTGTAATTAAAGAACTGGAAAAGATATCAAGAGACACGGATAATTCATTAACTTTTGATGAATTCTTGAAACATATTGATATGAGCGAAGAAGAGTATATTAAAATGGTTCGAGTCGAATTAATAAAAGCAAAGGTATCCTTGAAACGTGCTCCAAATGAAGTCAGAATCAATGCATACAATTCAGTGATGATGTCATTGCACAAAGCAAATATGGACATTCAGTTCATTCTAGATCCTTATGCATGCTTAATGTACTGTATTGATTACATCAGCAAATCTGAAAATGGAATGTCTAAACTTTTAAGAGAAGCATTGAATGAGCTAAAAAAATGGCAATAACACACAGTCAAAGAGCGTCTTAGAGTCATTGCAAATAAGTTTTTGAATTCGAGTGAAATTTCAGCACAAGAAGCTGTTTATCATATATTAAGTATTCCGCTTTCAATCAGCAGTAGAAGCACTGTATTCATCAATACCAACAGACCTGAAAATAGAATATCTATGCTCAAATCAGATGAAATTCTTGAAAAATTGGAGCCTAATTCAAAAGATGTTTTTGTTGAAGGCTTGATTGATATGTATATCAATCGACCTGATGAAATGAAAAATGTCTGTTTAGCTGATTTTGCTTCATTGTATAATGTATCAAAAAAACAAATAAACAACGTTCAGATTACGGAAAATTCTGGTGACGAAGATGTAATTGACAATGAAATTGATGAAAAAAGTGTTGCTCTAAAGATGAAAAATGGAAAGGGATGGATTCAAAAAAGAACAAAGAAAAAAAATAATAAGATTCAGAAACTTTCAGCTACATCAAGATCCTGAAAATTATTATAGAGAGTAACTGATGTTATTTCTACCATGGAGTAATGAAGAAGAGGATCTTATTCATATAATTCATGAAGAAACATTTGAATTATATAAAGATTTGATTCGACAAAAAAAATCTGAATATGTTCACCGTGAAGCCAATGAATTCGAAAAAGCTTTTGAAGAGCATACAGAAAGAGGAAATGACGATGATATTGATGATAAAAATATTGAATATGATCAAGATAAAAATGAATTTCTTATTTATGAAACAGGAAATAATGAAGGCGATATCTTTGTTGAAATGGGAATAAATATTCGAACTGAAAAAGTCGAACATTTTAATGTTCCCAAAATGATACCTGATGCAGATTATCAGCGATTGATACGAAGTCTCAATAATAATCAAAGAAAGTATACTTTAAATGTGATGAATTTGATTAAAGATAGCGACAAGCAATTTTTTCATTTCATTAATGGAGGTGCAGGTGTTGGCAAAAGTACTTTGATCAAAGCAGTATATCAGTCGGTACTGAGATTTTATAATTCCCTTCCAGGATCTAATCCAGAAACTATTCGCACTGCAATTTGTGCACCAACCGGTAAAGCAGCAGCATTAATTGACGGAATGACTTTACATTCATTTTTAAGTTTACCAGTTAATCAATGCAAACATAAACTCGTTAAACTAGATAGCGGGATTTCAAATAGAATTGGAGTGAAATTGAAAGACTTGCAATTATTAATAATAGACGAAATATCAATGGTTGGCTTTACAATGTTTCAGCAGGTCGATGCTCGCCTGCAGCAAATAATGAAGTCAAGAGAACCATTTGGTGGAGTATCAGTTATAGTTTCGGGCGATTTCAATCAATTAAGACCAGTTGACGATAAATACATATTCCAATTTAGCAATTCATATAATGCTTTAGTAGATAATCCATTATCGTCACTTTTTGAATTGTTCGAATTGACGGAAATAATGAGACAAAAAGATGATAAGATTTTTGCCATTGCATTAAGTAATATAGCAAAAGGAATGATGACACTTGAAGATATTAATTTATTAAAATTACGAATTGTTTCAAATGAAAATTTGGAAATCATGGGAGATGCAATAAGAGTATTTAGAAGTAATGCTGAAGTTGATGCATATAATACAAAAGTATTGACTAGTCTTAACACCGAAGGTGCAACTGCAAATGCTTATGATTTTTGTGTTGGTGATGGGCAAGCATCGATAAAAGAAAAGTATTAAGCAACGTAAAGAATCTCAAAACAACTGAAACTTATGGCTTACCACTAAAACTCAATTTGAAAGTGAGTGCTAAATACATGATGACAGTCAATATTGATACTGAAGATGGATTAGTCAATGGTGCTTGTGGAAAATTAATAATGATTGATTATGGGAAGCTTCAAAAGACTAATGAGACAGTACCATGTAGATTATGGATTAAATTCAATGAAGAGAAAACTGGAAGAAAAGCTAGAGCCAATTTTCATAATGTAATGCGAAATAGAAATATTGACCCAAGTCGCACACCAATTGAACCAGTAACACGGCAAATAAACACACGGTCAACAAATTTCAAAGTAGAACGAAAACAGTTTCCCTCTAGTTCCTTCTGAAGCCATGACTATATATAAAAGTCAAGGTGGCACTTATGAAAAAGTTGTTGTCAATCTAAAGAAAGGAATGAGAAGATCTGAATTATACGTCGCTTGTAGTCGTGCAACAAAGGCACGTGGTTTATATTTAATTGGTGACTTCGTTCCACCAAAACCACCTGAACGTAATGATGCAGTGGCGATGATGTTTAAAACCATGAGATCAGAACGAATGCTGAAATTTTCACTTGAATTTCCTGAAGAATCTCAAGAAGAAAGATTTTCTATGATGTTTCATAATGTACAATCATTGAATAAACATTTTTCAGATATGCAATTTGACAAAACATTTTTGTCTTCTTCCATGATAAGTCTTGTTGAAACATGGACAAAACCAAGTGACAACTTGGAAATTGAAGGTTTCAAGATAGCTCACAGACGTGATTGCGACGATGTACGAAAACCATTCGGTCAAAGCATTTATTTAAAAAATGATTTGAAGTACGAAAATATCCCCGAAAGATATGAATATTCAGGCAAAACCCATATTGAATATTCTTCAATAAAAATTGATGATATTTGTATAATTTCCGTTTACAATTCACCGAATTCATCATTCGATATCTTAAAACGACATATTAATGAAGTTATAACTATTTCAAAAGGATTTTGTGAAAATATAATTGTCGTTGGTGATTTTAATGTGAATTTGAAGATCAAAATCAATAGCAAATTTATTGAATATATGGAACCATTCGGACTTAGTTTGAATAATATACTAAATAGAGATTCAACTAATGCAAAAACGTAGATTGACTGTTGCTTCACTAATGTGAAAGACTTAAAATCTGATTATTTTGAAAGTCTTACAAGTTTTCATGAACCAATATGGATAAGAAAACATAAAGGTTTGACCGAGTTTCATTTTGATGAAACTGAAGGCATTTATACAAATATACCTTTTAATGTCGAAGATGTTATAACTGATGATCAATCTGACACGATGGAAGTCGATGAGAAATTCGTTTTTGAACGCCACAAAATAATCGATAAAAACGAACAAATTGACTTAGATATGTCCTTCCATTTCGAAGACCTCAAAGTTAATGAGCCATCTGATATGATGGAAATTGAAGAAAAATCTTCTTCCGAAAACTATGAAATCATTGATTCTAACTCAAGGGAGATTCTTGATCACTTTCTTCTTGCACTAGATTTTAATAATACTACAGTGACTAATCAAATTTCAAGTCAAAGTCAAATAATCGATGATTTAATTGAAACATCACCATTTATAACTATGAATAATAAAGACCAATCCCTCCGATTAAAATCGAAAACAGAATATTCTGTTCAAGCGTTCGATTCTGTTTTATGCTAGAACTTGCACGACTGCAGATGGCAATTGTTTATATAGTTCTCTTTCGATAATAAATAGTGGATCTGAAAAACTAACACATTCGATGAGATTGTTGGCAGTTAATGCAATGATCAATAATAGTGATTATTTCCAAACACTTTGTAAAGTATTGCACTATTCATTTGAAGGACAGCTGAAAAGAACTGCTATGGATACAATATGGGGTGGAGAAGTTCAAATTCAGGCGCTTTCTATGGCTCTATCTCATCCTATCTATTCATATATTCAGTTTAACAGCGATCTAAAAAATAGGCATTATATTTCATCGAGTATTAGTTTACAGGAACTAGTCGATCGATTTATTAAAGGAACAGCAGGTGGTCATCTAAAATATATAGGATACAATTCCGATAAGGATAAACTAGGACTTTGTATTTACTATAATGGTAGTCATTATGATGCTCTTTTACCTTTTCGACATAATCCTCAACAATTTGTACCACACTTTGACATAATTAAAATGAGTTTATGAAAAGAAACACAATTCAGCTAAAGCGAAGAAGTTTATGCGAATGAATAAAACTGCTGGAACTAACTCCTCGCCGCGTTCTACAGGACAAAAAGAGGGCATCCGCAGGGCCTAAGGGGCAGTTCCTTAGTGCGCTCAAGGATGAATATTTTAGACAGTTTAATAATAATAGATTGCACGGAGAAAACACCGGCGTACTAAGTTAGCATGGACCATACTGTAAGCGACCATATCCGGTGATCATAGACTCGACTCTCAGAGTTATATAATATCTTTCGAAATCACAGAAATTGAGTTCAGATTCGTGTTCAACTTGGAAAACTTGGTAAGAAGAGTTATTTTTGAATGGATTTGCGTGTGTATCTAGCGGGATTACGATCGTAAGCAACCTTATGAATCTATAAAAGATATATGATAGATACAGGCATCAGTATTTTCCTAATAAATCAACAATATTAATAGCTATCGAGTTCGGCTTTTTACCTTTCGATAGTCTTTTTAATTAGCTGCAAAACCAGGCATTTGGGAAACCCCAAAACTACTGGTCATCTGAGATATATCTAAGCAATTTGGTTTCTCGATGCAGTTTTTTTTGCGCATATTGAGACCTTTTGCAGGTAATGTTTCGTTAGAAAACTACAATTTGGTTCAAAACTAATATCAGATTCAGAATCAGCGTTAAAAACTGAGTGGATTTATATGTATTGTGAATAATTCTGGGGAAAATGTTTTTTGAAAAATCACTGTACCCCCCCCCGTCAGGGGTGGTTTGGTCAAAAATGACAATTTTTTCGATAACTCAGCGATTACTTGACGGATCCTTCTCATCTTCG